ATATATATATATATATATATGATGTATTTATATTTATTAATCATAATTAAAACAAAATTTTCATATATTTATATCAATTAGCACTCCTTGCAATATTGAAACATCTTAAAAAGAATGATGAAATATTAAAACATTAGATGATTATATTATTTTGAGGAGAAATTGAAAGAATAAAAGATGCTCAACATTTTAGCTCCTTGTAATTGGTAATATATTTTAGTATAAACTATGTTGCATCTAGTAGTTAGTAATATCCTTGATTCAAAGCCAAAGTACTAGAGAACTTGGCTTAGGTTTGTTTTTGTGTTTTGATGTTGCATAGCCCATTCAAAATAAGTTTGTGAGTAGTACTCGCTCGAAAGATAGTGTGTCATTGAAAAAGTTTCTTCATCCCCTCATTAAGTGGTGAAATTATTATGTGCAGTTTCCGGACGCCGTTCAAAGGCAAATCAGGACGGGTCACGTCACTTTTTAGCTATGCATGCTATGTACAAGATGACATGGTGCATTTTGATTTTTCTTTGAACCGTTCGGTGATTGGACAGAATAATTTCTCCATTAAGAGGAGTTTGGCTTTTGATAATAAGTTGATTAGTGAAATCCTAATTCAAGTGGGATTAAGGTTTCGTTTGAAACGGTTTTTTTACTATTTTTTTAAGCAGCTTTTTAATAAAAAAATTCTTATTCGAAAAAATTTTATACTAAAAAATTGCTTTATAAGACAATACGAAAGCTGACCAAACGAAAGCAAAGCATGGTTGTAGGCCAATCGAGGGTTGAGCTTTGTGGAAAATTCTATATAAGTTAGCATTTCCTGGGAGAAATAATTGGTCATTTGGTTCATCATGTTACTTAAAAAAAAATTCTAAGATGAAAAAAGGCTTTTTACAATCATATCTTCTAGAGTATAGGAACTGTTAAAAAAATTATTATCCAATTTTTTATACTCATAGCAATTTAAGAAAAAATTCTCAATAATACCTTAAAATTGTTTTTGCAAACAATTGGAGTCGCCCCAAACAAACCCTTAGAATTGGTTTGGGAAAACTATTTCACTGCATTGCCTTTCAAACTGCTATTTGGCTAATTTGACTTATATTAAGAAAGGTAGAGGTAAACCTAAAAAGATTTGTTTATAAAATATTAGAAATGACATTTCTTTATTAGATTTAGATGAGAAAATGATTCATGTAGCCAACCTCACATAGTGGGATAAAAGCTTGTTGTTTTTGTTATTGTTATTGTTGTATGCATTATATTCTAGTTCTGCATCATCCTACATCAGTGATCTTTAATCTATGAATCGTGAATTCTTTATTTGATCGATCATGTTCACGAGCTTCAACTGATGTTGTTCATGAAAATAAATGAATTGAACACATTAGTGTTCAAGCTTGTTTATTTAAGAATCGAGTATTAAAAATATTGTTCAAGTTTGTTTGCTTTGAATTAAATGATCACAAATGAGCTTTAATCGAACCGAGCAACGAGTAGCTCGTCGAATATTTGGTTCACTTGCAGCCCTAGAGGGGGCATCCAGTTCAGTCTATGTAGAACAATTGAATGGAGCATTTCTCTTGCATCAGCATGAAGTAGAACATATCATTACAGTATAAGAATTCACAAACAGAACAAATTTATGGTGAAAATAGAGCTTTCAAATAAAATATCTATTGTAAAAAGTTGAAAAATCATTTCTATTGAAAGAAGAAAAAGTTCTAGTATGTTGGTGAGCTGTTGATGCTTGTCAGAATAGAATACATACAAAATAATTGATCAAATTGAATACATTACCTAGAAAGACACGACAATAACTAGATAGCTAAAAATGATCCTATTGGGCACAGGAAGGGAAAAAAAAAGAAAAGAAATGTAAAGAAGATATTCATGAGTATTCAAACTTTCACACCATTTCCCTCTCTATCTCTTCTTTTAATACTTTCATGGAAAAAATTTAGGCATAGATATTGTAATACACTAAATATTAGATTCATTGTGGCTTTATTTATAGTTGCTAATGGTTGCTGAAGATGGTTATGCTAGACCGGTCCAGCCGGTCCCGTATGGACCGGCTTGCGAAACAGATGTGGGATCTCTGTCTCCTGCGGAGGTCGTGCGATCCGAACGCCCAGACAGAGCGATTTATGAAAGATTTTTTAGGGATTTGGGAGGGAAATTTGAATGTAGGGACTGTTTAGAGATTTCCTTTTGAATTGTATGCATTAAATGTTTGTTTTCCTAACCTAGAATTAGGGCATCTGGAATTTGGCTGAAATTTGAGATCTCATAGGATTTCTTTGGGCTCTAGCGACGTCTAGAGATTTGGGAGAGATCGATCCTCCTCTCGAATAAAGGATCAATTGTATATTGTTATTTTCTTCAGTAGTTTGTTTTCTTGCAATAAAATTACTATTTTTTTCCTGGTTTTCCTTAGAGTTTGGAAGAGTTTTCTCGCAGTTTTTATGAAATTCATAGAATTTACTTGAAATCTTCAAATGTTTCCTATCAGATTCTGACCCAGTTATGGTACTCACCTATAAAAATCTGTCAAGCTCTCCTGCTAGTATGTCAGTTGTGTAACTATCTCCTACCAGGCTACCACATTAGCCAACTAAGCAAAACTCAGACCTTCCTGGCTCACATCATTGCTCCTCTAGTTTCTTCTATCTATAAACTAGATTCCTTGTGAACTGCTCTAGCAGGGCCTACTAGCAACACTATAAATAGGTCCGCAAGCAGTCTCCTTTTCAATTTGAATAAAAAAAAAAAAGAAAGTCCATTCTTCTCTCGCACAATGAATATTCAAAATTTGTTTAGCAGTTAAATAATAATATGTTACTTTTAGATTATATGATTCTGCAACTGAATAATGGCTATCCTTTTTGCCATTAACTGGCAAACAAAAAAAGAATCTTCTTATCTTAATAGAAATAAGTGGACAATACCTTCAGTGAATAGTTCATAGCAGGATAGCAGAAATCAGTTTGAGAGCAAATTAAGGCATCCCCTGCTTTAGATTCTCGCATCATTGTTGACACTTCATCAAGTAACAAGTTGTATCTTGTACCAAATCATGATATTTGACCATTATCTGTGGCAAATTTTCGGGTTGAAAATGAACTTGATCAGTAAATATATCGTACCAAATTTTAATCTTATCTGGTCCACAATCCCTAAAAGAAAAATGGAATTCCCATGCATCTTCTACCAATAACTGGCTCTGTGGAAAAGAGAAAACATGAATCAGCAATCTGGAAAAGGAAAAAAGAAAACTAAGTAAAGAGGAAGATTCACACACTTATGCTTTGCCAGTGAGTTGTGTGATCCACGAGCAGCAGCCTGTACTACCATGAATTGATTCTTGCTCCTCGAATGGTTACAATGGCCTCTGATCATAGTTAAAATGACATAAAATGCATACATCAAAGCATGCCTAACGATCATTTAGGCTTCGTTTAGGACAGCTTCTTTATTGCTTTCAAAAAAAGGCTTTTTAGTACAAAATTTTCTAATTCAAGAAATTTTTGTACTAAAAAGTTGTTTTAGAAAACAACAAAAAAATTGTCCCAAACGAAGCCTTAAATAGACAGATTGTTGCAGTTTGAATGAAAAGAGTGCATACCACCAACTACAGAACAACTATCTGAGGGTTGGTAGCAAGTTACAATTTGTTGATGCTCCCTATAAGACAAAAATCCAGAGGTTTTGGTATATTACCCTGAAACAGATGCTCTGTCAACCGAGGTACTTTTCTATTTATCAAGATCGATCCAGCTTTATTCTGTTTAGCCGTATGATTGTTCAGAAGCATCTCATTTATCCAGGTCATACATTTTGTGGATCTCATCCTGTAAAAAATGTACAGTTAATGAAAAACTTAACCGAATAAAATTTTATGTAATTCTATTAAGATTAAAGGAGACAAAGTAGGATCTGGCACAAACCTACAAAGCAATATAATAAAATCCATAAAATTTTAATTAGATAATGAAAATATTCATGAACTTTAGAAGTGTTTCATTGGCATCATCTATGTTATCTATTACAGGAGCAGAATAACGAAGAGCTTGTTATTTATAGTTCTTTATTTATTGATTGTGTAATTTAACTAAGGAAAGCTGCTAATATGAAACTTTAGTGGAAAAGATCCGGTTTAAGGGGCAGGTTTTGCAAAATGTATATGCAGCTAAAGTTAGTCAATAGTTTCATGAATGTGTGATCAGCAAATGAATGAAAATCTAAGGATTCGAACTTTCGACTGTTAGTAGAAATACAAATAAAAAGCCCTCACTAGTCGCCTTAATGTGAATTTTGTTAAAAACTTGTGAATTTCTCAGAACTATGATAGGAAGTGGATGCAGAAATTTAAAAAAAATTTTACTGAAATTTTATTTCAGTAAAACCAGTAAACATACAACAAGAAAAACTAGGAATAGAAACACTTAAGACATTTTTTATTTAAAGATTTATACAACAACAACAACAACATCAACATCAAGCCTTTATTTAAAGATTTATGAAGGAAATAATAAGACACAAGTGGATCTTCAATTGGAGAGGAAGATCCCGCTCTCCCAATCCCTAACCGCTAACTAGAGCCCTCTCAATCTAAGAAACTCCCAATTCAACAAATCAAAGCATTAAAAAAAAGGAACCCTAGCCTAAACAAACTAGTTAAAGCATACAAAGCATAGTCAATTGCCAAAACAGCCCCTTCCCCTTCTTTTTTGCTCCTAGCTGGCCCCTTCCCCTTTCGAATGTTTCTCTTCTCGTCCCACCCCAAGGGATGCGAAACTTCTTCCGGGCATCCCTATCACCCACCTTTGTTCCTCCTTCACATAGCATTTGGCCGGTTCACGAGGGATCGACCCAACTGTGAAAATTCTAGGAGGGACCGATCTATCAATATCCTCCTCCCAAAGACCCATCTTGCCTGCAAGGTGGAAAGACGAAAATTGCAGCTTCATCCTCTCGTACAGCTCCCTCCTCAATTTTCTCGTCATCACAAACAGTGAGAACCTTACACATGTGCCATGATGTATACCTCTCCTCATATCTAAAACACAGCCCCTATGCCCTGTTCTCATATAATTTCATCTTTGTGAGCTTCTTGAAGTTTTCCTTAGGTCTCCCTCTTACAGTCTTCTCTTTTAGGGTCTCCCTAAGAAAACCCGGTGTTAGCTCTTTGGATAATAAAAAGGTGATGGTCATCCTGTACGAACCTCCTAAGCTACTGCCTCCAACCTCTCTCTGCATGTGCCTCTGATCCTCTACTAATTGGGCTAGCTACATAGCCTCTCCCAAATCACGAGGCATCGTCACTCTAACAGCCACCCAAATCTCTAGTTTGAGCTCTTTCATAAAGTTTCCCTCCAGTACGGTCTCCAGAAGCAGGTCCAGTGGGCTGGCCAGGTGCTCGAACTGCTCACGATACTCCACCACTATCCCCTCCCGCGTCAAAGCAAAGAATTGCTCATAAAAGCCCACTTCCCTACTGGATCAGAAACGTTTCAACAAGTAGTCTTAAACTTCCTCCAGGACTGTATGGCCGCCTCAACCAATTGACGGTAAAGTATCTTTCCACCCTGTATATTCACCCATGTGCATCCTCTCCCTCAAAAAGAGACATCTTCAGCTTCCTCACCCTCGGATCTCCTCATTTCCCCCTATTTACTTCATAATTTCTCATTCCCCAACAAGGTGGTTCCCCCAAAGTGTCCAAATCATCCATTCTACACTCATACCTAAACCCTTCATCAAAATCTTACATCATCATTTCAAATTCAACACTTCTTCGATTATAATCAGCTGCTCTCTTTCAAATTCAGCAACCCTCCAATCATAGTTAGCATCTCTCCTTTCAAATTCAATACCTTTCTGATCATAATCATCCCCTCTCCTTCGCTCTTGCCCACCACCTCATGCCTCTCCCCATATCCTCTACCAGACTGCCCCCTAAGAATAGGCTCTAAGGGAGGCATTCTCTCATCTCCCTCAAAAATCATCATCTCATGATATTCCCCTTTGCCTTATCGGATTAGAGATTTCTCCACTTTCTTGGCTGGTGGCAGCTTCCCTAGCCTCCGACGTTGTCATTTTGGTTTGGAACTCGAGCATCTTCCTCATCATCTCCTCTATGATAGCAAACTTCCCATCGAACTTCTCATGGATAGCTAAAAATTACTTTTTGAAATCTGAAATCTTTTATGTAAAATTAGGTTTCAATTGTTTGATGTCTCCTTCTAACACTTCTACCTTTAATCGTACCATAGATACCCAGATCAAATCTCTAAACAGCAAAAACGGCTTTCAAACAGCGAATCGGGCCTTCAAACAGCAAAAATCAGCAAGACTTGAGAGAAAAATGCACCAAAAATCAATGATGAAGATTTATATTTCAGCGCAGAACATTGCTCTGATACCAATTTAATAGGAAATGGATGCAAAAAAATTAGAAAACCCTTGGCTGAAATTTTATTTCAGCAAAACCAATGAACATACAATAAGAAAAGTGGATGAGTGGGATAAAACCCACAAAGGGTCCTACGCGTTAATTTAACAATAAAATTACAAGTCCATAAAGAACCAACAACTCTCTAAAAATACAACTTTTAAAATAAAACCTATGAGTGAAATGTTCTACCTATTATAATAATTAAGCAAAAGAAAAGAAGACAACAAAAACAAGTAAAAGAAGATTACGCCAGCTCTAGGAAGCAACAGGAAGAACCTCAATCACTTGAATTGAAGCCCCACAAACTACCAAACAACAACCTACATAAATAAAACAAACAAGAAACAAGCAAAAAGAAAGAAAAAAAAAAAAGACATCAACAACCCAACATATAACCAACAGAACCAGCACCAACAACAAAACACCACAAGACCACTTTAGAATTGAGGATCAATTATATCTTGTTATGTTCATTGCTATTTCATCAATTAGTACGTCGTTTGTGCTATTCCCTTTGGATTTCCTTCAAATTTGTGTTGACGATTCACTGAAATCAATCATTAATAAATTTCTCTTGAATCCTACAAGAGTTACCTATCACCTTAGCACTTTAAATAAAAATAGATATTTTTATTTTTATCAGCATATTAGTAAAATTGAAGTTAGAGAGGCTTTAAAAAAAATGAAGTTTGGAAAACCTATTGGACCTGATGACATTCCAATAGAGATGTGTAAATGCTTAGGAGATAAAGGAATTTCTTGGCTTGTTAAACTATTTAATATTATTTTTGAGGTAGTGGTGAGACCTGCAATGATTTATGGCACAGAATATTGGCCATTAAAAGAGAAGCATACTATTAAGTTAAGTGCTACTGAGATGAGGATGTTCAGGTGGATGAGTGGAATTACTCTTAGAAATAGGATATGAAACGAGGACATACGTGAAAAGGTTGGAGTAGTTCCAGTGACAGATAAGATTTGAGAGAGTCGCCTTAGATTGTTAGGTCATGTAAAACGACGGCAAAGGAGACTAAATGTATTAGATTTGGCCTATGTTAAGAAAGGTAGAGGTAGACCTAAAAAGACTTGGTTAGAAAATATTAGCAATGACCTATCTTTATTAGATTTAAATGAGAATTTGATTCTTAACAGGACACAATGGAGAAAAAAGATTTATGTAGCCGACCCCACGTAGTGGGATAAAGGCTTGAAGTTGTTGTTGTTGTAATGTCTTCTTTATTGAGCTCTTTGAAGCTGGACTATGCTTCTGGAGTGGATTGACTTGTTGTAATGTTAGCTTTTAATCCCATTTTATCCACTTCTTTGATTCCACTCCTTGGGGGATTTCTATGTAACTTCCAGCATGTCTCCTTTGTATATCTTAATTTTTTGCAATAGTTACACCATAAGTAGTGTTTGTCTCTAGGTTTCGAGGAATCCTTACATTATTCCTTCCATGACACCTCTTTGGTTGTTACCATTGTTGAACCTTCAACAACCTTTGACTCCAGCATTACCCATCATCGGGTTTTCTCAGCACGAATGAGAGAAATGATCTCATTTAATGAAGATATCTCCTCTTTGCCAATAATTTGAACTCTAACCTGATCAAACTTTGCATTTGATCTTGCAAGAAAATCATACACTCTATCTTTCTCAATAAAGTTTTTCAGGATAGCAGCATCTTTTACACACTTAGTCTCTATGCATATGTAGTAATCAAGTTCTTGCCACAAGCTTTAAAGGAGAATGACATATTCTACTTTCTTGTTTTGTGCTTCTCACCTTAATCTTAATTTCAAAGATTTGGGCGGTATCCCAAGCTTTTGAGAAGGTTTGTCTGGCGGCATTCTAAATGTCCTTTGAAGTAGATATGAACATATAAGTATTACTAATTTCTGGAGCCATGGACTTCTACAACTATGACATAATCATGGAGTTTGCTTCATCGCATGCCCAAAAATTAAGATCTCCTTCTTTTGGTCCTACTCCAATGAGGTGAGTCATCTTTCCTTTCCCTTTCAAATAGGTCTTCACAAATCGGAACCACTTCAAGTAGTTCTTCCCTTTTAAGCAATAAGAAAGTTGTATATTTTGGAAATCTCCTTTTCCTTGGTGCACCATAGAATCCTCTATTTGGTCAAAGCTTTAGGAAGAATTAACTTCAGACGTTGCAGTGTCAAAGGATAGCAATGAAAGCTATCTAAAAGATCCTGGGTAGCAATGAAGGCATCCTGGAACTATATGCTCCGAATTCTGGCAATGAGAATGAAGGGTAATGCTTGTTGAGTAAATAAGGAACTATAGCAGCTCCTATTTGGTTAGGTCTAGATGCACGAACAGGTTTCCATGGCAGGCCCAATCCATCCCCACTCCAGGTTACATGCACAAGTGGATCGGTGGCACTCCTGTTTGACTCGATCAAAACTTCCTGTCCGTAGGCGATTGAATCCTGGATGACTTCTTATTTTATAGTCTCCTTTCATCTATACACGAGATGCATGCGTGAGGGCAGCTGCAAACTGCTCCCACCCGATCGCCTCTTGTGGACTAGCCCCAGGCACGGGTTCTTCCGCTCAATCTTCCTCTCCCGTCTCCCTTTTGTTTCTCAACAAAAGCTGACAATGAAATTACGTTAGTAGAAAGGAACTTCAAAATTTCGTAGGGAAAGAAGGCTCTGGTGCCATGTTAAATTCAAAGAATTGAAGAGGAAAAAAGGTTAGCTTTATTGCACAAACTACCCCTATTTATAGTTCTATACAATATATTTTAATAAAGAAATAAATAATTACATAATCATGCATAACTGTCATAATATAATCCTTCTGCCACCCAAATATGGAAGAAGATCAGTTTGATCCAGGTGAGCCTCCCACTGATCCCCATTATTGCAGTGAGATCAAGTGCTAAGTGACGACTGAAATTCAACAAAACATTACCTCGAGATTCCTACCTGATCAGATAACTTTTTTATGGTGCATCATTTACCCTCCTATTTTAAAAGTTAAAATCTATGTCATCCAATAATATATTGAGCACACCAAAAAAATTCATGACAAAAGATTTTAGTTTTGGAAAAATCACATGGCATGACCATGTTAACGTAGACCTCCCCTTAGAGTCGTGCACAGAGTAAAATCCCATAAACTATATTTTCAGTCTTCCCTTAAGTCAAGCATCAATGGGAACAAAAATTATTTTCATAAATTTGCTCGAATTTGATCACAGACTCACAGTAACTTTGTTTAACTTCGGAAATGCTAAAATTGAGTCTAAAATATTGGATAACAGTAGAATTGGTATGCTAGTGCTCACAATCAAACCTAGAATGGGTTGGACCAACCACTGATAGTGACGTACACATGCGCATACAAGTTCATCATGCATGCGAGTGTGGGTGCAAGTGTGTGGATGTGCTCGTGGGCATCTAGGAGCGTGTGCTAGTGCCCACAAGCATATTGTTGTGAGCTACTATAGTAACCGCCAACCTTTTTTTTCAATGTAATAATATTTTTGTCATTAAATATATGTTTTTAAGATAAGATTAGAGAGTGTTGCCTTAGATGGTTTGATCACATTAAATGGAGGCCTTCCGATGACCCAATAAGGAAAGTTGAGGTATTAGATTTGGCTTATGTTAAGAAAGGTAGAGGTAAACTTAAAAAGACTTGTTATAAAATATTATAAATGATCATTATTTATTAGATTTAAATGAGAATTTGACTTTTAATAGGACACAATGCCAAAAAAACATTCATGTAGCTGAGGCTTAATGTTGTTGTTGTATTAAATATATGTTTTTAAGAGCCAAAATATTGTTGCATTCAACACCGCGGTGACACTTTCCCAGCATCACAGTGTTGTAATGCAAATTTTCATATTTTCAAATAATTGTATTTTATGAATTTTCGGTTTGTCACATAATGATAGCAAAGCAATGGTAGTCTGATGACGATGATAACTAGTAGTGATTGTTAATGTTAGGTAAAGCTTTAGAGTTCTTTAGATCTCCAAACTTTCTTCAATCACAAGTCTAGGCCCCTTTCATATGGAGAATGAGAGTGACATTTTAGTGAATTCAACTAAAATTCCATAACACTTGTGACATTTTTAATAAATTTAGTCAAAATTTCATAACACACCATCGAACTTTCCATATTGAATCTTTCAATCATAATAATTTATTAAGTATTTTAGTTCCTTTAAGACCTCAAGATTTATTGATCTTAAGCTCGTTGTATTCATCTTGCCAAGTTGTTCAATTTGACTATATGAATGCAAGATTTAAAGACAGTTTAGCTCTTCAATTAATATCTCAATGTTTCTAACAATACTTCATGTTCCTAATTTGAGCTCATTCAGACTTGGATCGAACCATCTTGGTATCTTGGATTGGTCTTATCGAGACATTTAATTTAACTATAAGTTATTTGAGATCATAGTTTGGATGACCTTGAATTTAATTCTACAAGTTTTCAATTCAAATATTGTTTGGAGATTCCTGAATGATTGGATGGATATTTTTTTTGATACATCAATAATATTGGAAACAATGTATATAGATTACAACATTGGTAAAATTTTTGTGTACTTCGTCTACTAAAACAAGATAGGTTTCAAAATAATATACACGCAACAAGCAAAAAATTAATAAATAACAAACATTCATGAAAAAAAAAACTTCCACTCCGGAAATTTAGTAGATCAAATTACCAGAAAGAAACATGAAATAAGTGATTATATGGAGGCAAACTATGTAGACACCCAGATAGGCTGGGTGACGGCAATAGCATGTAAGTAAGCCCTATTATAAAATTAAAAAGTGAAATGTAAGTTGGATTTTGCAACATGCTTACCCACTGAATTGCAAATGCAGCTGATGCATATTAGCTATTAAATACATAAGTCAACGTAGGAAACATGAGAAATCATTTGCCACTCAATGCCAACATTCCTCTGGTAACGCTCTTTTAATTCTGGATGACAATAAGTGACCATCAATTTTTGCAATGAGGAAGGGAGTTGCGGCAGTCTTCTGAGTTCAGGACTATGACATACATCCAAAACCAAGAGGGAAGAGATTTCATGCAAGCAGGAAGGGAGGGATTGTAGAGATATCACATCCCACAGGTGCAACTCACGAAGAGAAGTACCATTTTGCAACAACCAATTTTCTGCCTCAATGGGAAAAGAAATAATGTTGTTATTAAACTTAATTTTCAGAACCTGAAGGGAGCTAAGACTTCTCAATGGAGTCTCAAGCAGCAGTAAGGGATCATTTGTCTCGAGTTGCTCAAGCAAGAATGGAATATTCCTCTCCATAGTGGATGACCATGATGTTCTTTGAATGAGATTAGGACAATCCCAGATGGCCAATTTCTTAAGGGAATGTACTGCCTGTAATCCCCCAAGTGACCTCAGATTTTCACAGTAACTTATTTCCAAGTGTTCAAGTGCTGTAAACCTGCAAAGTAACTCTTCAGAAGGAAGAGATCTCATTTCTCTACAGCCACTGATTTCTATTTCAGCAAGGGAAGAAAAAACTGATGACCTGTTGTTGTTGCTATGTTTGTGCACAGGAAAAGTGGTCAATCCCACATCAGCGAGCTTTAATCTTGTAAGATTGAGAGGCAATGTCGGCAATTTACGCAGCTTAAGGCATTGTAGAACATGCAGCTTTTGTAGGCTAGGAAAGCATTGGTGGTATTCAGTTTCAGCAGCATTATCAGACCACTCCTCCAATGCTTCAAGCTTCCTAATAAGCAGTATCTCCAATGACCGAAAACCACCATTCTCACCTTTCCCATAAAATTCAGAGCCAATTCGTTTCAGTTGAGGCATATCAGAAAGGTCTAATATCTTGAGAAATGGCAGCTGTCCCAGAGGAGGAAGGCTTTCCCATCCCAAGCATTTGTGCAATCTTATGGTCTCCAAATTGCCGAGCAATGAAGGAGTCATCCAAACTGCAGACCTGGCACCAATATAGCCATGAATTGTCAGTTTCCTTAAGTTGGTGTGTGGTTGGAGTTGGTCAAGTATATGTTCATCAAGCTCATGACCTGTAGAATCCCTGAAATTTCCATCATCCCAATATTCATCACCATCCTCACAGCATTTCATGCCATCCCCCCATTCTAAAAAGAGTTCCATGAGGTGTTGTTTTTCCTTCAGCTTGACCGTTCTGGCCTCTCCAGCATCCTTCACATTTTCAATAAGTTTAATACGTAGACTGCGCAGCTCATTCAAATGCTGCAGCTCCTCAATTCTGTATCCATTCTCATTCATTATTCGAAAACCATCTATTCCTTGAAGGAAAGATAGACTCCCAATCCCAGGCATTCCATCAATTTCATCCCATGGCAAAATCAGATGCCGAAGATTAGGGAGACTATTCATACCTTTTGGTAAGAAATTTTTAGATACCTGATGCATTTCTTCATAAACAACAACTTGAAGGTGGTAGAGATTGCATAGTGATCTAGGCAATCTGGTTATACTAGTTTGAACTAGTTTTAAGAATCGAAGGTGTATCAAATCACCAATTTCTCTAGGCATCTCTTTGAAGTGCGGTGCACGTACACTAAGTAAGCGGATGCTTTTTGATGCTCTAATTATTTGGGAAAGAACAAGATCAAACTTTTCATCATCTCCATGATAAGCATTCTCATGGAATGTATTATCCCCAATATATGCCAAAAAAAGAGAACGCAGGTTCTTAAATTTTTTCATCTCACCAAGCACAGAGAGCCTACTAGTTACAATAGATAGGTGTCGAATGCTGCCAGGAACTCCAACAGGAAATTTATCATCACAAACAACTCTGATGCAGAACTGAGTAGAAACAGACTGTGCAAGCTCATGCAGCATATCATGCATTATATAATATGTTATGTTTCGATGATTATCTTCAACCTTCTCAAAGATAGATTTCTTAACCAAAACATCAAAATATTTACCTCCCATGTCTTCCATTGACTCCCCTACAAATCGAGGCTTCTGAATGAATCCCAAGGACATCCACATGCGGACCAAATCATCTTTATCAAACTCATGATCTCGAGGAAATATGGAGCAAAATGCAAAGCAATTTTGCAAATGTCGGGGAAGGTAAGTGTAGCTAAGTCTTAGAATTGGCATAATATCATTCTGACCATTCTCTGCATTTCCAATGTCACTGTTTAACACATTCTTCCAGTGTCTTACATCCAAATTAGAGTTCAAAAGGCCCCCAATTACTTTAGCTGCCAGTGGAGATCCTGAAAGCTTTTTAACTATCATTATTCCAATCGATTTCAGTTCATAATAAGCTTCAAGGTTTTTCACATCAGCAAAGGCATAGCTATTGAAGAGGAACAAGCAATCTTCTTCCTGCAAGCCTTCCAATTTCAATTTAACCATCTGTTTCCTCAATACTTTCGTGACTAGCAATGCAACCGAGTCCATTCGAGTTGTTACCAAAATTTTGCTCCCCTCCTTCCCAGTAGCTAGTGGAGCAAGCACATTCTCCCATTTGCTCTTATCCTGCTTCTCCTCCTCCTCCCAAACATCATCAAGAACAAGAAAAAATTTCTTCGACATCAACGCAGCTTTGAGACGCTCTTGAAGTGCGTTAAGTGATGCCAAATCAGGTCTCCGTCCAGTCAGAGATTCAAGCATATCTGCAAGAAGCCTTTTCACGTCAAAACTGTTGGAAACACAAACCCACAATTTAAGATCAAATTCATTAGTTGCCTCATCTGAATAAACTTGCTGCACAAGCGTCGTCTTCCCCATTCCTCCAAGGCCTACAACTGAAAGAATTGAAATGTTGCTATACATAGCACCACTAGCTGTACAGCCATCATCATCCACTGGCCTCTTCAACCATTCTATAACAAATTTCATCTCCACTTCGCGCCCAAACACATCAGTTTTTGGCAAGGAACCGGTTTCACGAACCTTATATTGCTCATCCTGCTGCTGGTTCAATTCATCCTTTGTGATTTCAACAAGCTGAAGGAAATTCCCAGCACCCGCAAACGCTTCATCAAGACTTTTCACCACTTTTCTCAGCTTTTTCAAAGTTGGATCTTCTTTAACGATGTATTTGCTGAATTTGGGGTTTAGACAACAATTCTTGAAGGGAGAAATAGTCTTATGTACCTTATCCTGACCAGCCTTACGCACTTGTTTTGCGAGCTCATTGTACTCCAGCTCATCTAGCAAGTCTTCAGCCTCGTCAACTGCATCTCGGAGCTGCCATAACCATTTTTTTAGATCTGGATTCTGCCCACTAATCTCTACTCGGTTTGAAGCAGCAACAATAGCTTGGATCTTTGGGTGGAGATCCTGTAATCTTTTCAGCTCCTTTGTTATGCCTGCCTGCAAAAAGAAATGATTTTGCACGTAGGTTAAGCCGAGTTCGATTAGCTTCTCTACAATCGCAGAGCCAAACCAATCCGCTAAAAGAAGTGATGCCATGATCTTCCTCCCTTGCTCCCCTCAAAGATTAGTCAGGAAGAAGAAGAGCGACAAAGAGGAACGAGGGAATTCGTTCTAATAATTAAAACTCCTTTCTTTTCTTTCACACGATAGTAGTAAAACTAAAATAAGCTACCCAAAAGCGACGATCAATTGATTAGCCATTGGCCAACCAGAAGACCAGAAGTCAATAGCCAGGGGAGATGATTAGAAGTCAAGAAGGGCCAAACTACTCGATGGCACACTGTAGACATGGAATGGATTATAATAAAATAAAGTTGAATCAATTCTAAATGAAATTTATTTGAAATCTAACCATTTGATTTTTAAGGTCCATTCCAGATTGCTGTAATTTTTTTAAAAGATGATTATAAAATTTAGAGTAAGGAAATAGTTTTTTTAAAGCTCCTGTAACAAATAATTTTCTGACATAAAATTTTTATGAAATTAATAATTATGATTGCAGTTTGAAAAATAAACAATAAAAGAGTTTATGCATTGAAAAAAAATTATGATTTGATTTGATTAAGGATTCTTTTGGGATGGTTTTTTTTATTGTTTCTTAAAGCAGTTTTTTAGTATAAAAAATTTTGTATTAGAAAATTGTTTTAAGAAGCAATAAAAAGTCATCCCAAAGGAAGTCTAAAATCTTTATTTGTAATAGTTTTTTTTATTTTTTTATTAAATTGTTGTAGAGAAAATAGCTTTTAAAATTATTATAGAAACAATTTTCGAGCATAAATTTGTTTGGAAAGCAATGAAAAAACTATGCCAAATAAAAATTATAGTTGTGATCTAAAAGGTAAAGCAATAATAAAATTGTCCTAAACAAAGTCTAAATTTGATACTTTGGATTAAATTGATCTAAAACATGTTTAAGATGAATGGATTATTATAGGTTATAACTTTGTAATAATTTTCTTTTATTTCACTAGACGATTGGACTATAAGCACAGTTCTAATTAATGCCTAAACGAACCCAAGGAGGCTTACGTTGGATTCCTCTCATCGAGTCGCTCGATTCGGCTATAAGAATGCATATTCAGGCATCATTTTGTCATCCAATTGATGATATGAAACTTTCAAGCATGTTTTGGTCATTTGATTTGGACTCACTTGGGTTAGGATTCGACTTAATTTTGTGTCATTTGGGTTCGTCTCTTTGAGATGTTTAATTTGACTATAAATTTACTTAAATTAGAATTTGAATGATCCCAAATTTTTTCTAAAATTTTTCAATTCATATTTGCATCAAGATCCGTGCTCGATTGAGACGATTTTCAGTGATGTATGAAGAATCAAGATTATTAATTATAGTCAATTTTAAGCAAATTTCATGTGAGTTTAAAATCAAATCAAATTCATTTTATTCAACTTGAGTGTATTCTACAATGACTTATGCTAACATGCGGAAAGCTTAATTCTAATCAAACATAAAATATTAATTGATTAATCATCAAACATTTATTTTGCTCCTAACAAGAGATTTAAGAGGCAATGGTTTACCTAAAACTGAGTGATTAATGCGATGGGTCTTGACCGCCATTCCATAATGGTTGAATAACATCTAAAAAGTTGGTGAGTCTTATACTGAATCCATATAATTGATTGATTAGGCTTTATTGCTTGATAATGACAAATTGATAATCCTTTTATTTGAGAGTGCTTAGTGGCCTATGTACTAAACTCTCCTACGAGAGGGAGACTTTTTCACGACAGCCATTATAACCCTGGTGGAATTACAATCTGTTTTTTGGTATCCTGGACTGGCTGTGTTTTGCTTCTTTGCAGGCTCTTCGTTGCACATGCGGCTTGGGAGCTGGATTCCTTTTGTTTTTGGGTTCTTCTTCCTACTGCTGCTCATTCTGGAATGCTATTTTGGGGGTCGTGGTTTTGTTCTTCTGTCTCTGCTGGAGGAAACCGCTTCTCTGTTTTGGAAATTTTGCTGCTGCCATATTGCTGTTTACTTCATGTAGATCGCTGGGAATTTCTTCCTTATGGGACTGTCTGATATCATCTTTTTGGGATTTCTTTGACTTTTAAATTTTCTTCTGGTGGCTGCTTTTTGGCCATTTACATGTAATTTTTGTCTTATTTTGGGCTTCTTCAAGCCGGCCATTAAATGGCTTTAGTCTTTCTTTTCATTACATGTAATCTTTTTTGATTAATATAAGGGTCACGCCCAAATTTTCCCTAAAAAAAAAAGAGGAAGATTATCTAAACACTTAAAGCTTCAGATTAACTACGAGAATGTAAAATATTTTGTTGCATTTCCATCATTTAGGACAGTTTTATTACAGCTAGCTAAAAGTATTTATTAATACAAAAATTTATTAGAAGCCGTGAAAAATAGGAAGAAAATTTTCATTTGGGACGACTTTTTTGTTGCTTCTTAAACAATTTTCTAGTACAACAAATATAATTTTTATATTTTAAAGAGCAGTAAAAAAACAGTCACAAACAAAGCCTTAATTGAATAGAAATTTAAACATTTATAGTTTAGGCCCAATTTTAATATCACTTAGGCTTGGTATGATATAACTTTTTTACTGTTTTCAAAAAATAACTTTTTAGCACAAATATTTTTTGAATTAAGTTAATTTAAAAAGTAGTAAAAAAACTATCACAAATGAAACAATGTTTCACTCTCTAATAAGCAAATTTAGGCTTTATTTAGAACAACTTTTTTATTGCTTTCTAAAATAATCTTTTTAAAATAAAGTTGAACATTGTTAGTTTTAGACATAATATAAATAATCAAATAATTTTAATATTATATTCATCCTAAAATAAATAAATAAAAAATTTAAATTCATCCTACTTAACGTTTTTTCTAAAAAACCCGCGTACACATCTGCCCTGATCACAATAATTTGTTTGCTTACCATTTAAGTCCTTAGTATCTTTACATATTGCACGATTGTTCACTAGCCAAAAAATAATATAATAAATGCCGGTATACAAAACACAAAGACTATTCTACCCCCAACAAAAATTCCTCTCCAGTCTCTCCTTCCACTCTCATCGCGAAACCCTTTCGGCTAAACCCAATGCTCTTCTCTCCCATCTTCCTCCTCCCAGATCCCCCACACGATCTCCTCCAAACTCGCCGGAATCCCTTCCATCTCTCCCACATCCGGCGCATCGGCGACAGCATCCAGCAGTTCCTGCAACCCCACGATCCGGCGGCTAACATCCCTCCGTATCTCGCGCACCGGCGCATAAAATCCCGGCACACCGTCAAGGCGGAGAAGCGCCGCCATGAGCTCCTCCGAGATCCTGAGTCGCTCCCTCGGATCGCGGCGGATGGCATCGACGGTATCCTGCCGGCGAATCAGATGCTCGAGTCGGTCGGCTTCGCCGGCGGCGGACCGGATCCGGTCTATTTGGGTGCGGACGAGTTTCCGGCGGTAGGCGGATTGGATCTTGACGGCGGCGGCGGAGATGCAGGAGAGGGGGAGGATGACAGGGACCTGAATTGGGGTTTGGTTTGAGGGGAATTCGACGGGGATGGAAGTGATTTGGGGGCGGATGGGAGGGGTAGCTTCCTCATTTTGAGAGAAGTCGGAGTAGGAGAAGGAAGAGAAGTCGAAGTAGATGGAGTACATCTGCTGAAAGGGATAATTAGGTTATTAGAACTGACAGGGGAAGTTTTGTGAACTGGGTGATTGGCAATTTGGCATGGAGACTTCTGGAAGTGTGGCGGAAATAATGATGTCGAGTAGTGGATAGCTTTTTTTTTATTTGTCAAAGAAATGCAGTAGTTAAGAATGTTGATTTTTTTTTCCTTATTTAAATATGTTAATTAAATAGTTCATATTAATCCCATTAATTATATACCATTTATTTAATATTTGAGTTCATTAACGAGTTTAAAATTGAATAATTTTGGACTCATTAAATTTGTATCATCGAGCAAATTGATTTAATTATAAATATATAAAATTTGAAGATCGTTTGGTCCATCAATATCCTAAAGTTTTTTAATACTTCAAATGCTTGTTTTGAGTTCATTTGGATTCAAACGAAATATTGTTTGTGTCATTGAGTTTCTCTTATTGAGATATTCAGTTTGATTATGTTGATTGAAATTAGAGTTTGGATAGTCCTAAATTTAATTTTAAAAAATAGTTGAAGTACTATCTCAAGAGTTGTGAGATTCAAGAGAATTTTCAATCATATCATGTGCATGTATCAATTATTTTCAGTATCATGTATATAAAGTATTATATAATGTAATTTATGCAATTTATTACGTATTTTAATATTATATACATATGAAAGTAATGTATGCAGACATTCGACAACCTGTAATGTTTATCTCTATATTCAATCTTGTAGGCCAATCCTATAGTCTCAATCATATTAATAATCATGTTTTCAGAAATTAATCTCATATCACATATTATAAATCAAGTAACTTTCATGTAAGAAGTAGACACTTCCTTCATGTTGGTATGTCATATTTATATTACTTAGAATTATATCACAAATCTTATTTTAAAAAAAGTCTATCAGCCCACCCTCATATATAAGATAATGTCTCAAGCCAACATGAATCAGTCAGTTATTTTCGGCCAGCCTTTCTTACTTTTACACATTTCACATCATAAGAATTAACATAATAACAAATATCATATACACCAAAGGCAACTGTCATTATACTTATCATTATGCTCGTAGTAAGACAAAAATATATATTTAACTAAATGAAAAATAAATATATACATATTATGTATTTCATATCCAACTGCAGGACTATACTAATATATGATCATTGTATGCTTAGTATTATACTGTTCATTTCAAATAAAATGACATATACAAATAAAATACCTGATAAAATTTTAATATTAACCATTCAAAACATTCAGGATAACGATATCTATTATTTATCAAAAGTTACATTGTATAAAATCATTATAATGAGAGATATTGTATTTTTTTTATCAAATTTAGAGGGAAAAAAAAGATAAAACATAATATTATTGAAAAAAGGCTTAGGGTTAACGTTACCTACCACGATCAAGATATTTTTTACAACTGCAACATCAACCTACCATCTTGTACAGGGTAATACCTCAACCACATTAATCAATTAATCATTTATAGCCAGCTTTTTTTACTTTTATACATATTCCACATCATCATAGGAAATATAATAGCAAACATCATACTCACTAAATGCAGCTATTTCTCTCTCTCTTCTATGGCCAAGTAAAGAATGGGGAGGGGATGAAGTGAGTGAGGGTTTTAATCTAATGGTTTTAGATATGTTTATTCAAATAAAAAAAAATAGTCCTAATATCATAACATGCACTTCAGGCCCAATGCTACAATGCTCCCTCAAATTCTAAAAATTTGAGAGCTTATGCCCCAGAAGATTAGCCTCCCAGTGCTCACTCAACCAATTTCTTGGAAATTGGGAAATTAAATTCATGGCTATTACAATGCCAAGCTTTTCTAAAAAAGTTAATACTTGTTATCAGCACCAATACTAATGCTCGTTGTGGTGGCCAATAAGATAGATCCTAACCATTGAAAAATATCGATTCTTGTCATCATCAAAAAGATTAATTCCCATTATTTGCACGTACAACATTGGTGTCTACTATCACCATTAAGATTGTTTCTCATCGGGGGTACAAATCTTGATGATACTTGTCAGTACTTTTAGACACCTATCGTTGTTACAAACACGTACCAACACCAACACCAACACATGAAGTCTTTATTGACTCAATATTGTACAAAAATATTGCATAAATACAATAAATAAGTTCATAGTAGTAGCTCATAGAAAAAATCCGACATTCTCACCTCATCTTGTCATGAAGTTTTCAACAATCAATTGTTTGACTTTGGCTATGAATTTCAAGCATTTCATACATAGGTCTCTAAAAATTCTTTAGGCTTCGTTTGAGACGGCTTTTTTACTGCTTTCTAAAATGGAATTTTAGTACAAAATTTTTTATTTTTGTACTAAAACTCCGTTTTAGAAAGCAGTAAAAAAGCCGTCACAAACGAAGCCTTAGTCTCCATCAAATCCTTAATAGGACCTGCTACGCTGCAAGTAAATTGTGAGTGGTCAGTTTAGAGAATCATTGGGATTTCAGGGATCTAGATGAGCTGATCTTATGATACCTTGTTTATGCTTTCTCTCTCTCTATATATATCATATACATTTTGGCTTCGAAAGGTTTTTCAGGATGAGCGAATGAGGATACTTTATTATTTCGTTAGATTGATGGTTTTCTGCGTCCTTAAGCATCCCTTTGAGTATAAGTGACGCAACACTAGTCACTCAAACTCTTGATCAATTCTTAGCATTCCTTTAGCGACCTTATTTAAAAATTGATTGTGTAGTAATCTAACACTTATCTTTGCTGTCATAACTTACGTTTTATTTGGGACGGCATTCTTATTGCATTGTAAAACTATTTTTTATTAAAAAATCCTTTAAAACAGGAAAAAAAAAAAAACAAAGGTCTAAAATTGTTCCAAACTAAGTCATAGTATTAGGGTGTGTTGATTATGAAGTAGTCAATTTTCGGGAAATATATAGCTTACTGTAAATAATCTTGAAGGAAGCTAAAAGACCTGCCAATATTGCTACTTGCAAAATCAAGTGAATGATGAATCTTAAGGGAAACAAATCTTCTCTCTCTCTCCCCCATTCTATTAGGGTGTGTTAGGCTTCAATCCAGTTGATTGAAAAATTAGCTCATTATATTCTTCAATATAGTTTGTAATTTGATCTTCATTCGTAAATTGAAACCATTCATATACCTCAATTGCCATTTGTTAGAATTAGAAAAACTTCAAACATTAAAATTGATTGGGTTCATCATAATCATCATTGTTGTCGTCATCATCATAATTTTTTATTTTTATTATTAATAATTTTGTCAAGCAAGCACTAGCTGGCTAACCATTGGCTCACAATTCTGCATAAGACTACAGCTAATACTAAGATTTCTTTTGAGACGGCTTTCTTATTGCTTCTTAAAGCATCATTTTAACATAAAAATTATAAAAAATTATTTTAAAAAGAAATAGAAAAGCTGTCACAAAGCCTAAATATATATATACCATTAATAGTTTAAAGAGTTTTGTTAAATTTAAATTCTGTATAAACCTAACATATATATAATTTTCAAAGTATATATACTCCATTAATTTGATATTCATGCATCATTGTTTGCATGTCATTACTCTTTATTTGAAATAGCTATAAATTAATTTGTGTTTCAAACTCCAAAAATACCTTCAAAATCATTCAAAAATAGAGATTACATCAGTTCGCATTCAAAAGAGAAGAAAAATGAAATGATCACATTCTGAAAACTGTTTTCCACTACAAACAACCAAATTAATGAGCCCTAAGTAAGCTCTTTTCAGTCGTTTGTATCCAAGAAACATTTGTTCTATACATTTTAAACTAAATCTGGAATAGAAATACGACAAATTATCTCTCAAGCGTTTGATATAAAGTTCTTGATGGCCCTTAAAAAGGCCAATGCTGTCCATCAGTCATAAGTCCTTACAGAAATAAAATATAGAAGAGTCATCATAAAAAATGAATCCAATCAAATAAAAAAAAGACAAATGATAACAAACCTGCAGCAAAACAGCACTGTGGTTGTACCATTACAAAAAGAATAAAGTTTAGATTTGTACAAACACACCTGGTAATGTATCCCAGATTATCTTATGCTGATCAATCCACATAAAAAGGCCAATAACTTGGATTTACCCAAGTTTTCCCACAGCTTTCTTGAGCTTAAGGCTGGCTTTATTTCTTGAGCTAAAGCTAGCTTTCCTGTCAAGTTCAAGAAAGCTGTGGAAAAATATGAGGCAACCCAGCTCTTGAAGCATGAGATTTCAATAGCACCTTAGACCCTCAACGCTTGAACTGATCAAGTAATGAAATCTATAGTTTACAACAAAGTAAGAAGAAAGTGGAAGCTGAGCACACGAGGAAAGAGGAGAAATGGAAGAGAGCTCAGTAATGCTCGTAACCTTAGGCCCCCTAACTTAAATAAAAGCCATGTAAGGGGTTCCTCACAGCCCATTATATAGAAGGAATGTCTAAACGATTTACATGTGGTAAAATAGTTCATCTCGAAGCAGCAGAGAATGTCAATTGAAATGACAAGTCTTATTAGGGCGATAGTGAAGGAAATCTGAGTTTTTATCTCTAATATATGTTAATTAATTTGAGTAAATATTCTTAAAATATTTTTTAGAATTACAAACATATCATATAATTTTTATATATTTAATATTTAAATTATATAATATTTTTATCTCAATTGCATTATATATATATACACACACACACATACATTTTATTTTAAACAGTTTGATATTAATAATATTTTTATGCAATTTAAAATTTAACTATTATGTAAATAAACATTAAAATTTAAATATTAAATACATAAATACACATAAATCCTCTAATATTTTTCTTAGCAAAATAGATTCAACAAGGGTTTATTTCTCATATTCTAAGATTTTTTTTTTTAATTACAAGCTAAATATTTTCCTTTCTTGAGCAACATAAATTATTTTTCTTATCAATTTGATCTTCTTAAATAGTTTGTCAACTTTAATTTAATCAAAGGT